AAAGCAGGTTATTCTTTACTATTAGTTACTTGAAGAAGGTCGTGAAATGTTATTGTTCTGCGTCTTATTTTTCTTTCAATTTTAGTTTACACGATTAAAACGGCTCTCCATTGAGTGGAAGGTCTGACCGATGTACAGATCCATCCGCCCACAGCTGTGCACGCCGATCGATAGGTGAAATCATGTATGGTGTGGAGTGATTTGTAGGCTACAGGTAGGCCCATGGATTTATAGCAGGATGCGTTGTGTTCTCTAAATGACACGTGCGCCCGGCCCCTCAGCCCCATGCGATGCAAACCGTCGTGCCTGCTGTGGTTTTGTGTGAGTGGAGAGGGAAGGAAAAAACATCCCGTTTTGTAAAAATGAAATAAATCTGCTTAGCTCTGAAAAGCCAGCTTTGGCAGCTTTTGCTTCCAGCCCCAGTGACACCGGCGTTTTGGAGCAAGCTGGCAGCTGCAGTCATCTGCTGTGCTGTGCTGTGCTTCCTGCCTGTTACAGCAAGGTCACCTCTCTGACTCAATAACTTAAAAGAACTGCAAGCACTGCGCTGTCTCTCGATTCAGGTTTACTGCTATCTTCGTTACAGCACAAACTGGGCTCGGCTGCTGCTTCTGCATGCTTCCCTTCACTCCTTTATCTCCTGCTCTGAAATGCCTGTAGCATACCCATTAGGTTCAGGCGGTGGCTGGAAAGCAGTCTGCAGAGCTGGGAAGGGAGTTAGGCTTTGTTTTCTCAAAAGCTGCCCTGTTTGGAAGGGTGTAACTATGGCAAATGTTTTACAGGATTCAGTACAATTACCAGCCTCAGTCCACCATCAATCTCATTACATTCTGGTGGAACCATGTTCAGAATTGATCTGAAGCCCCGACACAGTAACGCTGGAAGGTTTTCTTAACTTTGGACTGATTTTGCATTCGAAAAGAGCTTTCATTGTGGGGATTTACATAAAACAGGGACAATGGCTGTTAGTTGTGCTGTTTTGTTTTTAGAGAAAAACCTTCTGTATTGTGGAAAAGGTCCCTTTATACCATGTGTGTCTTGTTCTGCACCCTCCTCCTGTGCTTCTGAAGGGGAGGATCCATGGGTGTCTGTAAGTGAGAGTGCGCTTGTTGTCTGATGTTAACGGGTGTCTCTCACATGCTGTATGCTTGTGACACCGGGCCTTGCTCAGAGATTGTTTAAGAGAAAGGCAGATTTTTAATGGGCCAGTGAAAGTGAAAAACAAGATCTGATGTCCCTATCCCTTTCATTTCCAGAATGTCTATGTGTGTGTGTTTAAATATCAAGAAAGAACAGGCATTCAGAAGAGTTAATTACATAAATATTCAGATAGTTGGGATGAATGACTTCAGAGTACTTTTTTCTGCTTGGCACAAATGACTTTCAGATTTTTAAATGTATGCATTCAAAAGCACAACTAAGAATGTACAATATCAAATGGATGGGAAAAGAACAGCCTATGTATGTCATTTTTCCACACCCTGTCTAACAATAAGATCAGTGTGAACTCATCAGTTGATACATACAGGCAGTATGGGTTAACAGAATACTTGGATATTCTGAACAGCACTCTAGAACAGACTGCAGTTCAACGCAATTGTGTTTTCAATGTAAAACTGATAAAATCCAGTCAGATAATATCTTGTGACTCTGCTTCCAAGAATATTGTATGTTCTCTCTAGCTTAGTCCAAATCTGCATGCAGTGCTTCATGCAGTCTCTCCTCTGCAGCTATCTGAAATGGTTACTCAAATGGAATCCATCAAATACCTTAATCAAGTGTAGTCTTTTCATCTTAGTCTATTTGCACGTATCCACACACAGCTCGCACCATGCAGAATAGTGCATATAGCTTCCAGGCTTGACTGTTCTAGTGCATTGTTTGCTTGTGTATCCAGACGTGATCTTGACATGTTGCAGTACATTCACAAACTCGGCTAGATCGATTTTGGTTTAAAAAAGCAATGCTTGAGCATATGTCGCCTGCTTGGGCGTCTTTGCATTGGCTTTCCACAGATTTCAGAATGAGATTGTTTAAGGGCTTGAATGCCTTGTCTCCTGTGAACATCAGTGGACTTAAGCATCTGCATGTCATTTGCAGTGTCTTCAGACACTGGCCTTCCTTCAGTTCCCATCATGAGACTCCACGCCCTGGGAGATGTGCTTCCTGTTGTACCTCCAGCACCGTGGAATCATCACCTGGCCTGAAAATGAGTCACCGCTTGCAATATCTGTCTTAAGAGTCATTTATATACCCCGGCTTTTAATTCTGTTTACATTTTGTATATACAATGTCTCTTTTGATTATTTTATTTTGAAGCATCTTGAGATATTGTACCAGCAAAGATGCTATACAGTAGGTACAGTAAGTAAATACAATATAGAGCTATATCACAAGTAAGTAAATGCTGTACAGTGTGTAGTAAGGTAGTTGTTATTAAAGATAGTAGAACAGCTGAACTGAAATCCAGGGATGTTACAGTCGTACTATATAATTTACTAATACTAATACTAGTCCAGGGATGTTACGTGATACTATATAATTTACTAATGCAATCCTGTCTTGAGTACAGTGCTCAATACTGGTCAACATTTTTCAAACACATTGCAGTTGGTAAAGATTTCAGCAACCCAGACAATACCAAAAATAAAAGGTATGCTGCGTACATAAACTGTAAGATCGTCGGATCAGTGCAAGGCGCTTTTCTCAAAGTTTTGGAACTGCTAAAATTTGTCAAATTTGTAAGATGCCCTATACTACTGAATGGTTGTGATTTCTTTATAAACAGTCTGGTGCTTTGTGTCATTTCAAAATAAGGAAATTAAGGATTAAGGTAAAATTGAAAGCATTGTCTTTATTCTTAAAAATGTGCTTGCGGGAGCTGTATATATCTCAACTCACAATCAGTCTGCTTTGGTTCAGTATAGTTTATCCGCGTGGGTCTGGGTGCAATTTCCCTTGGTATTACATGGGATAGCTGCCCTCCTCTCTCTTCTTTGTTCCAGTGGTCGTAGTCTCAGGTTATTTCCCTGTACAACTGCCCCCCCTTCAGCCTGGCTCCGCCTCTCAGCTTCATTCAGCCCTGATGGCCTGGCACGAGCAGTACAATCCTTATATATTGCCAAAGTTATTACATATTGTCCAGTGGGCACCTTTACTCTGGTGTACCTAGCATGATGGAAACTGATGAGTTCAACAGTTCAAAATTGAACTGATGAGTTCAAAGGCAGACAACCCTTAACTGGTAGACAAACGCTGAGGTGCGCTTTACAGACACACAACTCTGCCAATGACCAAGCATGACATCAAGCTAGGAACATTCTAAGAGCAGGAGGACTTGTATCCTTTAATTTAATTTTCTCCATTAACATTCCTGGGTGTGAATGGGTTCCTTAAAGGAAACACAAGTGAACAACCCATACAGTATCTGGCACACGTTCTCACACAGTCTCAATTTGTTCTGTTGTTTTGTTGCTCTGCTGCCCTGATTCAGAGTCCAGGTGATGTGGTACCCTGTGGCCACACTGCAAACAGATTAGCTCAGTTTCCAGAGTCTATTCCCCTTTAAAAACCTCTGTGTAACATTTCCACTTGGGCAAGTTTCGCAGCCCGGCCTGTAATATTTATAAAGCTGCTCTCAGCGCCTTGTCCTGCTGGGTCTCCAAACCTACCCCCTGCCAACAAAAGTCTGTTCCACTTTCTATATGTGTCTCCTGAAAGCTATTAGCTGAACTCTGCTGGTCTTGCCTCCTCATTTCCCAGCTAAAAACAAGCCCCCTGTAGAAAGGTTTTGTGTGATTTTGGGCAAACGCAGGCTTGCAAAATCTACTCCCACATTAAAATCTATCAGGCCTGCCCCTACAGAGATATCAATACCCTATTTATATCTCTACTGTAGCTTTTGTGTCCTAATGACAACTTAACAAGGAAATATTCAGATGGCTGAAAATTCTTCAAAACCATCTGAATGTTTTACAATTATACATTGTCATATCTATAGAACTGTCTCCTACCAAGATATCGCTGCAATGGCATTCCACATCTTAACTATTCTTTAAGAAACAAAGAAATGTGTTCTGATTCAGTTTCTGAAAATAATAGATCACAGAAATGTTGGCTCTTACAGTTCCTCCTGCCTGTCTTCTTATTCTGTCTTTATTAATACCTTACAGGAAAAAAAGATTACCGTCTTTTTTTAAAAAGGAAGTAAATCATGTCGTTCGTACAAAATGTTATGAGGTATTTTCTTTCCTTTGATAAAAATCAGCATCACAAATGTGGTTTTGGTTATCCAATGTCTATTGGGCCAAGGGCAGTAGAGAAAAATCAAAGCATCTGTTTTTACTGTTATTTATTCAAGTGTTGCTGGTTTTCTACATCACTTGTTTATTTGCATCACAAAGCCACTGAAAGCTGAAATCTTCCTCATTCAAATTGTGTGGTTTGACCAGTACCGCTTAATAACATTCCCATTTTTGGAATTTTTCATTTATTCAAATCCAGTTGGGTAATTGGGTGTGTACTGAATTTTGAAATTGTAATTCAGGACAGAAACACAGTAGGTGGTTCACACTGAAAGGTCTCTGATGCAGCATCTTCTATGATCCCCGTTGTAAGAAATGTATTTTAGGCCGTGGTCTGTCATGTCCCAAAATGGGTCACATATGACATCAACAGACTTTATTGGAAGACGCGGTGATTCTGCCCCAAACCGAGACAGTGCTTTAATTAAATTGAGCTTTCCCTAAATGAAACAGATGTTTACATCTCTAGAAATATTTACATATGAAAACAGCCATGAATAAAACATTTGTCTGAAGAGGTAAACCAGGAGTATAAAGTGGTTCTCCTTCAGGTTTATGTTTACGGACAGAATTCTCTCCTTTCATGTTTTTTTACTCTTATTTTGCTTGACTTCAAACAACCGCCCGGTCAAGGGCGCCAATGAGCGACCGCCTTTAACCAAGAGACCCTTCCCCTCCCCCCCCCTCGTCCTGCAGGCTCCCGCCTGCGGCTTGAGGACGCGCCCCCCCACATCGTGGAGCACCCCTCGGACCTGATCGTGTCCAAGGGCGAGCCGGCCACGCTCAACTGCAAGGCGGAGGGCCGGCCGGCCCCCACGGTGGAGTGGTACAAGGACGGCGAGCGCGTGGAGACGGACCGCGACGACCCCCGCTCCCACCGCATGCTGCTGCCCAGCGGCTCGCTCTTCTTCCTGCGCATCATCCACGGCCGGCGCAGCAAGCCCGACGAGGGCGTCTACGTCTGCGTGGCCCGCAACTACCTGGGGGAGGCTGTGAGCCGCAACGCCTCGCTGGAAGTCGCCAGTAGGTCCACCGCCGCCCTCGTTCCTTTCCCGGTTCTCGCTTCGCCCGGGCTCTGTGGAAGGCTGCGCTTTCCGCCTCTGCTCTGTATGGCATTTGTCTTCCGCTTAGGATTTGAATGGTCCTGCGTGCTCCCACTGTGCACGAGTCCACTGGAGTATGGTAGCACCGTGGTCCTTATGTTAGACGCTGTCGGGCCTGCAGCTCGGCCCCGTTCCTTTAGAGCTCAGTGCGGGGAGACTCCCGCTGGATGGGACAGCCACTGCGGTTTGGGCCAGGTGAGTACTGGTGCTCATTTAGCTGGACGAGCTGGTGCAAAGGGGGTGAAGCATCTTGTTCCAGAGACAGCACGGGGGGGACACTGGGGACTTGAACCCACCTCCCTCTGACTATGTGTTCCACAGCCCTAAAAATGTTAAGGAAATATTGCAGGATATTTAAACACACGTACTGTACTGTGGTCAGGTGTGGTGTCACAGCAGTAGGAAACTAGGATAAAAGTGCCCGATTCCTTTGCAGATTTGCATATTGTAAGGATAAATTGGGTTTCACCCAGAGCAGAAGTAATAGACTATACACTTAAGTCTACATTTTGAGGGGAGCAGATAAGTTCCTTATTGATTTATATGACACAGATGCTTTCAGAACGTTCCAGTTCCAAATGATCTGTTGATCAGGCCTTTAATATTATATCAGTGATTTAATGTAGTGATATCAGTAATAGTATATTAGTGTAGATCCCTAAGGAAGGATTTCAGTTATTTTCTGCAAGACTAATCAGTAGAATTCTAAACTTGGAAGTTATGCTGTTTCCTGGGAATTATAATATGCATTGTCCTCAAAATTAGAATATGCATGTTGCATGAAAATACATAATCTAGCATCTGGAATGCAGATAGAGCAAGGAGAGTAAGACCTGAGTACAGGCTGCCTTTATTTATAACTTATTTATCTAAATGGCAGTAGTTCAGATACACATAAGCTTTCATCTTGTTATTTATATCTGTGTTTTAAGTGCTGTCAGAGTAGATAAGAAAAGGACAGACAAGCAAAGTATCACAAATAAAAAGAATTTTCCATTTGCAGTTATACAGTAGGCATCACCCAGAGCAGGTTGCAGTGGTCTTGTACATAGAGCACTGCCTGTGTCATCACTGCCACCCCATATACTTTTCACTGCTGGCCAGCTGTGCTGGGCTGTAAGAAGTGATGTTTCCACTGTTTGTCACACTCTCTGGCTGCCATTCTGTCTGTTTCTCGCTGGCCTGTCCCTCCATCACAGGAACTACATAGCCAGCTTAGCAGGGAGCTGTTTGCTTGGGCTGTAAACCAACAGGGGGAACATAAGAACAGATACAAATAATAATAATTACAAATAATAGCCCTGTGTTGCTATTAACCAATTGAATCAGGAATGTCAGACAGAGGTGCAGAGACAGGACAGAACAGATCGCTCATCTTTTAAACTTAATGACAAGACGATAAACTAAGAGCCAACATAGCAGACTTTGCAGCAGTGATTGAAATCACAGAACAGAGATGATTAATCTACAGTCCGTTTGGTTTTCGTTTCGCGGCACTGACTTTAGAAAATTATGTTTATGACTGTGTAGCTAAGCAATTTGTTTTTAATACCTAAATTTAATGTCTAAATTACCTGTTTTGTAATTTAAAATTGTAAACAGTAAATTAAGTGAGCTTAGGTTTGTTACTAAGCTTTCTTAATGAATTACTCTAAATGTAATTGCAAAATATAATGGCACTTTTAAAATACAGATTTTAATATTAAATACAGATTACTTAATTTAAAATATTTTACTTATATGTACTGAAGATTTATTTAAATGTAATTAAAAGGCAAGTAGATTAATGAAAAATAGAACTAAGAATGAATGTTTGTTTATGTTATTAAGGGTGACTAAGTTTGAAATCTGTAGTTACTGGGTCATAGAAAAAACAGTATTTATGGTCTTTTGATTATAAATTATACATAAAATATTTTAAATTTGTTTTCCAGATCAAATCTGTAGCATTGGCAAGCTCCTTATTCAGCAAGAATTGCAAACAATTTATCAGTGTTAAAGGAAGCGTTAAATTTCTATAGTCCTTTAATAGAACTATCACAGAATATTTCTATATATATCTCAATATATAGTATATATATACTTTATAATAGAAATGTAAATATTAAAATTATATTCTAACCCATGCCCTCTACGTCATGTTGCCATAAGAAACTTTCAGCTTTGATCATGCATGAAAAAGAAAGCAGAGAGCTTTTGTTAGTGGGGCACTAGTCTCTCTCCCTCTGGCACAGATATCTTTGCTCAGGTGTCAGTCCCTGGCAGAGATACAGCAGATCTGAAGGTACCCTCATCTTTCACTTATCACTGCCAATAGCTTTCTGCTGTCTTTGACACAGAGGCCAAGCTATTGTCTGTGCTAATGGCTTCATGCAGACAGAGAGCCTGGTATAAATGCAGAGTAAGGATCTCTCTCGTAGGCGAGCCCAGAAACACTCGCAACAGATGTGTTGTCCTTGGGAACACAGTTGCTGAAGAGAAAGTGCTACAGCAAGAGAGGACACTCAATCCCAGAATAACTACTGACAAAACTGAGCCTGGTTTGGCTTCATTATATCACTGTGTTGCGGGATTTGAAATGGAGAAATGCTGACAAAGGCATTCAACAAGGATGCTAAAAAAACTGGATGCGAGTTGCATTTCTAATCATGGAGTAATCTTACGTAAAGAGTATTTGCAATTATAGTACCGACTGCAGCAATATTTTATTACTTACTGTGCTGTAAGCTGTTGTCATTTCCACAAAAAATAATGCGTTAGACCAATTGATACTGTACTCACAGTTGCAGTTATAGTTGAGGTAAAAGTACAAGCCAGATTATCTTATCTCACCAGAACCTACCCAATTCACACCCTGGAAGGGGATGAACCCTCAAAAGGATAAACTTTTGAACTTTGTAAATAAATACCTTGCATCAGTCTAGATTGTAGCTCCTTTTCTTTCTTTTTCTTTTATGAGGGCATCTGTGTTTCAGGCTTTTGTCCAGGATTTTATTTGTTGGGTCTCTCTGAAAGGTAGGGTCTTTCAGATGTCTTGAGGTTTGCCTCAGTTTATCAAAGGCTTCACAGGTACCTCTTGGGAGAGGTAAACAATGTAACTGGCTACAGGTAAATATCGGACTATCTGTTCTGATTGTAGTCATAGGAACCTTATTTTAGGTGGCCGGGGTTAATGGTGAGTGATAAGGAGATGCAGTGAAGCATGGTGAGTAAGCTTTTAGCTGGACATAAAAGGTCAGAGAAGAGCAGCACAGAGACATGAGGTCACCTTGTTTCTGGGCCTTTTGGTGTCTTACAGCTAGGCCACCCCTCTTATTCTCAAATCTCTCAGGTCTCGTCCTTGTGACTTTTTTTCCCCTTTGTTCCTTACTTAACTACAAGATTAAAAGAAAAACTACAAGATTAAAAGAAAAATTAAAAACTACTTTTGTTGTTATGTATTCTTGGTTTCTAGAGTGAACGTTTGACTTTGATTTTGGCCCGTCTTTCCATATCTTCAGATAGACATCCAATGGAGCAGCCCGTTGCTCTACTCCAGATCTACCCTCCAGGGCGACAGCATTCACTCCAACTGTCATTTTCTGTTCCTCATGCGTTTTCCAGGGCTGTGAGTACCTGCAAGCCCTCCTGTGTGTTTCTGTCACCCCTTATATCCCACGCCGACACTAACAAGAGCTTCCATAGAAATGCTCGAGAGGAGTGTTTAAAATCAGGACTTTGAACGGGATGAAGCCCGAGCTTCTGCATTAAATAGCCAGGGTTGATTGAGGCGTTACGTCAGCCCTGTCTGAGTGCCAGCTGCCCAACAGGGCTGTGTCTGCCAGGACACTGAGATGCGTTGAGCCGATTCCTTGTGCCAGCTGCCCCCCCCGCATGCCAGCAGGGTGTTTTTTGGAGAGGTAGACTGAATGGACTGTGTCCATTTGCTAGCAGGGCGTGGGGTGGCCAGGGCTGCTTAATGAAAACCAGATTCCCTGGCATTTGCCCTCTTTGCCAGCATGGTGTGTGAGTTTAGGGATTACCTCAAATATTCCCCTCTGGTGCCAGCCCGGGATTATATTCGATGTGGCCTGAGGATATCCGAGCTGCGCTGCCTGTTTCAGCAGCCCGCCTTGGATCTAAAAACGCAAGAGATGTTTTTGGACTCTCTCCTTCTCCAAGGAACTGCAATTTACTCTCTATCCTCTGAATTCGTACGATGGGCCTTGTCATATACAGTATCTGTACAGCTAAATCTAGCACTGTGAGCATGTGTAGGGCGCACCATCTGGAAAAATCAGAAAAGACAGTAAAACGTGTGAAGATCACATGAAGGCAAAAGTGCAGAAGAACCACATTATAATAGCATTTTGATTGTAGTAGTCAGCCTTCACATTTTGGATGCAACAGTAATGACTTTTCAAGCCTTTATTAAAAACAAAATTTAGATAAGACTTCAAGTGAAGTAACAGGAGAGTTTTATACAGCAAGAAAACAATGTCAATCGTTGAGGTTTCCAAACAAAAACACTATCCATATTTTATTAATTGTCTCAAGGTTCTGCCTACTCGTTTGATGGAGTAATGTAAATGTTCCAAATAAAATGCTACAACATTACTATAAACGAACGAGAAAGAGATTGGTTCTGTGCTGAGAAGTGAAACCTGACCAAAGTCCCAAAGGTGACATTTCCTTTGTTTTACTTTTCAAAGCATCACATCTTCAGTGCACCTTTATTTCTATCAGTTAGTGAAGAAAATGATTCGTGGGTGTATCGAGGCAAAACATTATTACAAAGTGTACATATATCATGTAATGGCAGAATGAACATGGAATTCATCTGCCACTCACGCACTGAGGCAGCTCCAGACTCTCACCTCTTCACCATTATTGTATTCAGCTTTAGTGTCATTGCTCTGTGAAAAAAAATGAGTAATAATA